GTATTTTTTTTTTTTTTGGGTCTTTCCATGCACTGGGAGCTTTTGTTTCGTTGTGTGTGAGGCAAGTGTATGGTGATTCATGTACAGTGTTGACTAAATCACAATCACGCAAAACACTCCTCAGTTACGCGCATGCGCGTAATCAAGAAAAGAAAATTAGTGCAGTGGCTAATCAAGTAACTCAAGCTCCATCTGATACTTGCCCTGTGGCGTTCATCGTATCGTGACGCTGCCAGTCCGTCGTGCTCAGAGTTTACACCCGCTCGAGTAACACCCTACTCGCCAGCAAACTGAGACCGCAACCCGCACCTCTTTCCGCAGGAAAACGCAGCCTCCCAAGTCGTTGCTCACGACGATTGAGTTGACCCCCGTCTCTGCGAGCGCGACCAGGGCGAGGATCTACTCTATGCGCGCCATTGTCGCCATCGTCGCTACGCGGGTCGAGAGCTCGAGGCCAAAGGAGTCGTCCATCATAGCGACGTGCGCGCTTACATCCAAACGAGGAAATAAGCGAGAGTCGTCGCCAAACTGAATGGCGATGCGACTTGACGAGGTCCGTGTGGACCGATGTCTACGACTGCCGGAAATACGGCAGCCTACAGGCGTCGAAGCGGCCGCCGGCTGAGGTGCATTCCTTTTTATGGGATGCTAAAGAGCCCGCGGTGAGTGCCCCGTGCACATAATAGAGACTGAGCATGTACGCGTGGAAGACGGGCCGCAATCAGCATGCATAATAAGTGTCGCGGTTGCTATCCCACTTGACAAAAGGCCGTGGGCGCGCTTCGGATGAGAGTATCGTCATTCTTTCCATGATTCGGCCCTACACGGCGGGTTGCGCGAGGTCGAGGACGAGCCGGTTGCAGGCTTTGCTCAACCGGGAGGTAGCCCTCGGCCTGCAGCGCCCAGTCGGGATGCTTGTCGAAAGAGTACAAGTCTTGGGGTTTTGACCTATCCGACTCGACCCAGATAGCGAATTGTAGCTTCTCGCCGGAGGCTGCCACGATGCGAAATGTCGCTCCATCAACGAAGCTATTCAGACCTTTTGGGAAACAAACATAATTCGACGTGCAGTTACGCAGGGTCCGCATCATTCGCTCGTACTCTTCGCCGAACCAGACGCCGTCAATGACCCTGTCCGCGATGGCGCCGCCGTCAAAGCCGAACCAGACGCCTTCGCAATTGTTGAGTAGCACTGGCTGGCGGTCCGCCCAGGCTCTCTATATGAGGTGCCGCCGGGAGAGTTGGTGTTGGACGCGCGACATGCCACCCCAGCGACGGCCATTCACGCGGCAACTCGTGTGTGGTTTTTATCTTTCTGCTATCATGACTCTGTGCTTGGCGCTAGAAGAACATGCTGTCACTGAAGTCATTGCCTGGCCATTGTCTAGCTCTCTTGTCCAATAATTCGGCAGCGCTGTCGAGCTCAGCGAGTTCAATATTGTCGTACCGGGTCGAGGGATCTGGTGGCTGGTCGTAAGTCACTATGTACGAGGTCAAGAGACTCGAGGCATGCGATCGCTCCGGCGAGCTTTGTAGCCTATTGCTTGATTGTAGTAGTCGGTTATACATGTATGCTTTTCAATGCACTGTGGTTTTCTCAAATCACGCACCTGGTTACAATGGTAACGCTGCTCTAGACTGACGGCTATAAACGAGCGCTACTAAGTCTGTACCAGATAGTTGTGGAAAGCATTTGTGTAATGCTAGGCAGAATGTTGTGCGATTTGAATGTATTATAGCTTTAGGTCTTAGTCTAAAGATTGATGAACAGACTATAATTATCATAATACCAAGCCATACCGTCCGTCAACAACACGAAGCATCCACCTAGTGAGTCCAGGTCATACACCCTCAGGCATCGGCTGTAGTTCCTGGTCTGGCTTTGGATACATTAAAAATTGAGTAGTTCATCAAGAAGGATAGAGGGGAGTCGCTCGAGTAGAGGGGAGTCGCCTGAGGTGGTGTCGGGGTTGTACTGGCAGCTAGTAGAGCACCGGTTTCGCGCAAGCCCATCCTTGCGTGAATCCCTTTCTTCATTAAGCTATATCTTTTGACCGCAGCCTAAGAAGCTGTACTCGATTGCAATGGAAGTAGCTGATGTAAGTCTATCTGTGTACCAATGCTACGAGCTGGCTGGAGTGTAATTGACCCGATAACACAAGCTGGATAGTGGCGCGGAGCTCGGAGGCCGCAAGCCTGGCAAACGAAACCCGACTGGGCACAACTAAGAGCCTCAATACCAGAGTAGAGTATGCTCGATGAGAATTTGGAAAACGGCCCTCTCGGTCTAGCATTGGGCGTGGGGGGAGGGGGGAGGTCCACGGAGACGCAAAGACTGCCTAGGCGAATGCTGAGGGGAGATGGAACCTGGGCAGGTAGGCCACATGGTTGCCCGTACATGGAAAATCAGCGAAATCATAGAAATAAGAACGTGCAGTACGGTGGCCTCGTACGTTTCTTCGTGATTCTCATCAGGTACGCCTCTTCGCCCCACGGCAGCGACGGAAACATCGTCGCCATCAGCTACGCCTCCCCCCTGCGGGGTTTCAACAGCACGTTTCTTGCACCTGAATGAATTTATGTACTATTTGGTATATTGTGCTGATTTGGATCCGAAAGAGGGGCAAATTGAACAGGTGCCCGGCTCGCGATTGTCGTCGGATGCCTCCTGAAATAGTGTAAGTGAAAGCCATGATCCCACATGTGTGAGCTTTGAGTTTCACCATTTTATGAGTCTCACTCCCGGGCGATCAGGCAGTCTAGTTCACTTGAGATGCTTCCTTACAGAAACATGTCTTCAGGTTAGGCTGTGGCTATTTACTTTGAAGCCAACTACGGCAATTGACGAGAAGAGTCTCTCGCCAAAGAGACTAAATTCTCGAGTAATTGGGCATTTAAATCTTCCATGCCGATACATAATGCGGTATCTGCTCCGTAACAGACGTCAGGCTTGCAGATGGGGCCGAATTCAGAGTACCTCAAGGCCGGTAGATCCCCGTCGAGAAACGGTACAAGGGTCTCGAGTCTGAGTAATGCAAACTCAGTTGTACCAATGAATCAGTACTCGGGGTCAGTTGTGGTCTAGTCTATGGAAGCACCTTGTGGTAAATTTGTCAATTGAATTGATGTCCTCGCCGCTTGTGGGCAAGGGTCGTGGCGCATCGTGGGGACACACTACCACACTACGTTGCGGTCTGACTACCTAATGAGAGACCTTTTCTTTCCTTTTACGTTTTGTCCGAGTGACCTGCCCGATGCAGGGTCCTGCGATGCGTGATGGGCAAACTGGAGCCGCCAAGTCGAACCACCGTGGAGAAGCGTGAGACTGGGGAGGCAAGTCGTGACCAAGACCAGGACCGCTCTATGCCAAATATTGTCAATTTTCCTCAACTTTTCGGGCGGAACTTTTGGACAGAAGATTATTGTGTATATCTGCCTGTGATGATGAAAAATGGCTTTACGCCTTTATGCATGTGATTGCAATTGCAATCACAAATCGAGGTCGAATCTGTTCCTTGTACTTCCGCTTCCACATTTTGAGTTTTACTTCCCCGCGGCCACGGCTGTGGGTGTGGCCTTGCAAGATGATGACTCTATTTCCCCGCACTCCGGCGGTCCCCCGTCACATGAGAGGCGTAAAAAATGAGCAAGGCAACGCCCATTACGAGGAGAACGAGTGAGACTCGCCGAGGACCGAACGAGCGAGGCAGCCAATAGAGGGCTTGTGAAGATGCAAGCATGCAAACCTCGTGGGGTTCAATAATGAAGAGATGTTCATTATTATGCGTGAGGTATTTTACGGCATTTTAGAGAGTTTTTTGTTATTAATGCTATTCTATAATATACCCTTTCAGGAAGAATCGGGTTAGGCAAGGGAATGATAAAGCAAGATCCATGCATTGCTGCACGCCCTCTTGGGCAAGGCTGCAGTGCGAGGCTTATTCTCATGTGCTGTGCTATTCGTCGGCGCCCTTCGGCAGGTCGCGGCCCTGCATATTATAGTGAGGGAAAAGCGTAGCTGAGGCTCGGACGCGCGGACGCCGCCCGCCACCGGCACCAGAGTCGCATGATGGGGCCGAGCTGCGCCATGCGATGCCGACGACGATTGTGTATTTGTCGTAGACTTTGACTAAAAATGGGCAAAGAGAAGAGGACAAAGGGAAAGAAAATAGTTACACGCAATATGTGCGTGCATATGTACTATAGCATTCTAGACTCGACGAGTACATATTACAGAGTACTTATTGAGAGGACTCGGTATTGTCGGGAATCTACGAATCGCTATGAGCTAAAAAATAATAAGAGGCTCCGCCATCCGAGCAAATGACCAACTTTTTTCATTTTATTGGTGACATCCACTTTGCTGCCACTTGCAATTCCGCACGCGGTTTAATTATAATAAAGCCGAGCCCCAATGCAAAGGCGGTTCGAGTCGAGTCCCCTGCTTATGCAAAAGTAAAAAAGAATTAAATGATAAAATAAAATAAAATAAAAGAAGAGAGAAAGAAATCGTCGTTGCCACCACGATTCATGTTAGAGACATGACATGTTCAAAGTCCCTTCCGAATTTCCGATTCAATTGCCGTCGCTGAGGGATCACTCATTCATTTGAGAGTTAAAAAAAAATAGTTGACAATTGCCTTTTGACTCGGCAACAAGGACGCCACACCGAGGTCGTTTTTTAGGAGAGAACGGAAAATAGAGGCCGAAGCAGAAAAACGAGAATAGCTGGAAAAAAAACTCAAAAAAAGACTAGGTCGCAAGTCAGCAGGCCCTGGGCCCTGATGGGGCTTAGCGCGATGGTGGGATGGACCAATGATTCCATAGCTGATGGGCAGCATTGAAGAAAAGAATAAAATAAAAGCCCCGCTTTCTTTTTAATTCTTTTCTTTTTCTTTTTTTTTTTTCTTTTTTTAAATCAATCCTCTATTTTAAATGCCTTTTATTTATTATTTCTTCACCTATTTTCTCTCGGAATTCCGTTCATTTTTTAGCTTTCTTGACTCTTTAGCCTGGCGCCGGCCCCAACTCCTCATCATGCCGGACGCCTATGGCTTCAGGGTTCAGCCACTTCTTGAGGGGATTCGCACAACGTGACACCTGCGTCCAAAATTGGCCAGAGCATGTAACAATGTAACAATGTACTCCCAAAAATCAGTACCAGCAACGGGGTAACGTGATGAAAATACATAAGGTACGTACACGTCCGCTAGCAAAATGGAGTCCCTCAACTCTATTCTACTGGTAAAACACCCAAACCGGCCTGAAACTGGTCCAAGCTCTTCTTCACCTTATAGTCAGCAGCATCACGTCCCGGCGTGCGACGGACATACTGCTGCCCTCGTGGCAGGTGTTTCCGGGGTGCATTTGTTTCGTTCGACCAACTCATGAACAAGTTGTAAGCCCATTGTCTCCGAACCGAACTGCTGCTTCCCGCCTGCCATGCCACGCGAGCGCAGCCACTGATCCATCGCGGGCTGGTATGCGCGGCCGGCACTGGCACAATCTGCGACAGAACATGCACATGGCGCGCCACGGCATTGCATGTCAAACGCATGCATACAGCAACTTGGCTTTCAGTCGGCAAACTAAATTTAGGGAGGCGTGCCGAATCTTCAGTCTTTGCGTACTTTTTGCTTGCCAATGTCTCCCGGCTTACTGGTACGTGCGGCGCCAAATGAACTTGTAGAACTTGTATGCTGGTTGTACACCTCATCTTGATCCAGAGGCCGAGCTTTCCACATTTCGTTGCATGTGAAAATAAAAGGATACTTTTGGTTAACCTTTTTGCCGCGCCCCGTGGGACCCTTCCAGCCTCTCCCCCCCGCTCATTAATAACTGGACCAAGCCCAAAACTCGCCGGTAAATTGACCGAGGCGATAGCCGCTTGCTCGCTCAAGCAAAGTCGGCGCCAATTCACGCAGTATACACGTGCGAAATGAAAAAAAAAAAAAAAAAAAAAAAGGGACACTTGCAGATGGAAATGTGTCTTTACTTCTCTCGCGAGCTACATATTCTGGACCCTTGAAATGGCGCAAACCTAGAAACACAACTTTTTCTGACATTTCCAGAGCAAGAGCCCAAAAGAGATAAAAATCCAGCCCACATGTAGAGAGATTGGCAGGGCATGCAACTCTTTCGTCACCGTACCTCGCTTGGCGCATGTACCCTTGCCATCACTCTAGTACGCCACAGTGACACGCGGCGCACCATGACACCTTCTTTTCTGTGAACCCCACGTGTCTCTTGAACTCTTTCTAGAAGGAATTTCCTGGGGTATACTAAAAGGTACGGAAATCCTTCCACAGAGCTTCCGTTTCAGGCCTTTTTGGCGGCGCCACCACCGCCAATTTCACTTTTGGCCAAGGTCATGCGCATCTATATCAGTAAATCGTGTGTCCAACGAGCAACGGTTTCATATACCAAGAGACATGTGCATCAAGTCGACCTGAAAGAGTGATCGAAATAAAATAAAAAACGTATTGATACACATGAAATAAATGGATGAATCATAAATAATCACGCGCTCGTCATTCCTTGAGGTTACTATTAAGAAGAAGCCTGCCGTCGCACCTGTGATTGACAAAGGTTTCTGGCAATACCATGTAATAAATATAGCAGCAGCTGGACAGGCGACAGGGTGACGGGATAGACAAATAAAAGTCTTTGCGTTCTAATACAGACAATCGCCATGGCACGACGCTGATCCCTCGACGCTCACGCGCACCATCCTGTGAGCAAGGGTCTGGCAAGGCTCGCTGGACATGGGTTGATGGGCAATAGTCGTCTGATGCGGGAGCTGTAGCCGGGGGTCTTTTGGTCAGTTTCAAAAGGGAAAAAAAAATGCCCAATATATCGTCAACCTTTTATTAATAAAAAGAGCGACAAGGAATAAATTCCTGTTTGTATCCCGAAATTCTCCGTGACGCCCCAACAAGTATGCGCCAACAAGGGCAAGGGTCCAACAGCCACCCTCGACAGAAGGGTCTTTTTTTGAAGGGCACAAGGACTTCGGCTCGCAACTCGGCCTGGCCCCCGAATGGAGAAGGAGGGTCAGAAGACAAGCTTGAATAGCAAAGAACCGACAAGCACGCCCCCAACACAGGTGCCGGTCGGACCAGGAGCGAACGAATCAAAAATCACCAATGGGCATTCAGTGTGGCAGCCTCGCTTCAGCTCGGTCATCCAAGACGGAAGAAACAGCCAAGATGGAGAGAATGTCAGCCGCCGCACGCCACCGGGGCTCCGTCCCGCCGCATCATCCTTCGCACGCCTCTTAGCAAGGACGCGAAAGAAAACAAAAAAAAAAAATGCAGCACTGTGCCGCGGAAAACGAGCATGGCCTCAGTTTTTTGGTCTTTATCTTTTATCCGCGCATTGAATATGGAAACCACACCCTGTTCTAACGCCCTTGTCTGCTCGGTCACGAATAACATCAAGTAAAAAAAGACAGTCAAGATAGTACCTCTTCCCATGAGAAACTGAAGCCTAGATGCGCGGCAAGTCAATGGCAAGGCCGTGAAAACCCGTTTTGTTTGTTTGTTGAAAGGAAAAGGGTGTTTACGTGATTAGACTGGCGGCTTTATTTGTGGTGGCTCCGGCGCGGTTCTTGTTAGTATGCAAGGCTCGCCCGCGTAGTTTGGCAAACCCGGCCAGTCCCAGCAGTGAACAGAAAACAAAAAATACAGAAAAAAATTCAAAGGAAAGAAAAAGAAAAAGGAAAAAAAGAAAAAAAGAATAAGGGTAGAATAATGCAGGCACTAAACAAGTACTAGAAACTGTATGCGGTAAACGGTTTGGTGGTGGCAGGCCTTGCCGGCGACCTATGACGTCTTTTAAATCGAAATCGTGCAGTCTTTTCTACACCACAACTCCGTTCCGAGTCTCGGTCGAGCCCTTGGGAAGTAGTCCGCTCACCAAGTAGCAGTAGTGTTGTGGTTCTTTCGAATCCATTGGTGTCGAGAATTAAAAAAAAAAAACTATTATTTTAATTATCATCATTATTATTTTCGTTACTTGGCATTTAACTTGAGCTTGGATTTTCTTTCAGGCCCCTCCCCCGGCTTTCTTAGCGCAGGTTGCATCATCCACTGAGAAGCGCACCGGTGATGCACTTGGCTCCGGTTTATGGCGAGAGCCTGCTTTTTGTTTTGTGCCGATTACGGCGAGAATGAGCCGAGTTGGAGTTGTTGATCCATCAACTGATTCCTGTTTTTGACCGTGGGCAGGATTCATCTCGGTCATCATCAGGACTCGTCCAAATTTAATCAAGTCATGCTTGTAAAAGGATGATGTAATTCAATCAACTAACCTGAAGAGAATGATTTAATTCTTGAATTAGCTGAATCTGTGTTTTTTTCTTATTATTGGTTTAATTCCCCGAATTTTTTAATTCTGCTTTTTTATTTCTTATCTTTTTATTTAAACAAAAAACTAATTTATTAGTCTCTTTGCATCGCTGGCTAGTTCTGTTAATGACATGCAGCATGCAGCAAAACGGAGTCAAAGAACTCGGTGCCATGCGTCTTTTTGCCAGCCCGCAAAGTCGGTGAATCGAGCCATCAAAGAAACGTGCAACAATAACCACAACGGTCGCCCCCAACCTGCGGCTCAATTCGTGTGAAAATAGACCTGCGACTTCACTTCACCGCCCCCCCGAGCACGGAATTGTGTTGTTGTCAAGCGTACCAATGCCGGCCTAGTCTTGAACCAGTTATAGCAAGTGACGCAGAAAAGGCGTAAGCCTGTGCACGAACTTGTTCACGTTGAACTCTAGATTGATTGAAAAAGGAAAATACAAAGGAAGAACCCTGTCACCACAAGTCATTCGACCTGCAGGTTGTTGTCATGCGTCGACGTCGTGGCTCTTCCCCGGATAATGCCATCATAACAAAGGCCCCTCTCGAGATGCCTGCAAGTGGACAAAACGCCCAAGCAGATTTCAAAGAATAGTAAACACGCCTTGGCCCCCGCCCGGGTCCCGTCCTCTTTCAACGTAGCATCCCTGATGCACTGAGCATATGGCAAATCATGTGTACGACAAACATCCAGAACAACTTGCAAACTTGTTCAAAGTGCTAGTGGGGGGCGACTGCCCCTCATTGACAACTCAGCAAAATGGCGTCTCGTGAGCGTTCAGACTTTTTTTTAAACAGGGCGGGCGGGGGGTGTGTGTACCTATGTTTCTGCTGCTTTTTCTTTTGGACAGCCTTTTTTTGCAACGGCTTTGGCCCGGCCACCCGCCTTCCGGAGTTGCATTTAGTCTCAGAGGACGTGTTCAAAAAGCAACGAAATTATCAAAACAACACGGCAAGGAAAATACGACCTCGTGACGGGTTCCTTTTTTTTTTTTTTTACTGTCTCGTCGAACAATGTTGCACATCTGATAGGTCCAATGACCCAGATGTCCAGGCAAGCAACCAATCAAAAAAGTCGGCTTGGGATTTTAGTGCACGGGACCAGAAGAATCGAGCAGCATCAATTGGCTGCTCGTGAGAGCGTGACATTTTACAAAAGACAAGCAAAGGGGGTGTTTGTGCAAACACTTCCTGATTGGAAAAAAGTCTCGAGAAAAGGGGAAAACAGGATTGCCAGAAACGTGTCGAAATGGATGAATCACGGGTCGCTGAGCGATCGATCTGCTGTGTTCTTGTGACTTTGGCCATTAAGAATGATGCAACTCGGCCATCACCTTGCTTCTCTAGCAGGCTCTGTCTAAGCAGTACATGTCTGATGCTCCGTTCGATACGGTGGCAGTTTTCAGCTGCAACGCGTGTTCCACAAGTAGATTCCGGTCACATCTACAACCACAAACAAATGCTGGCAATATATCCAGCATGCATAGCTCGCCTTTTCCCTTCTCACGCAGCCGCCCACCTCTACGTCCGCGCCCACCACCCGCCGCCCCCTTCAACCCTCGATCAGCACCTCTAACCGCGTAGCCTTGCCCACGTCTGCCAGCACCGCCTCCTCCGCCTCCCTTCTCCTTCTTCCCAACATGGATCTGCCATGATCGTCTACCACCTCGAAGTCCCCGTTGTAGCCAATGGTCGCAGCCGGTGCACAGCAGCGCCTAACCGTGCGCGTGCCCGTGATAGGGAGCAAAGTTGGGACGGGATCGGTGGCTTAGGCGTCGGCGTCAGAAGGGCGCTCTCAAATCTTCGTTGGCCGCACGGACAGGATGGGCAAGTCATTGGCGCGAGGCTGAATGCCTATTTTGTGATGGAGGGGATGATCAGATGTAGAAAAAGCGCCCGTATGCAATCGCTATTTACAAGTCACAGCTCTTGTTTTTTCAGGCTGGCGTAGTTTGTGTATCGTAGCTGCGCATATAAGCCAAAGAAACGCTGTGCCCTTTGCGCGTGTCATGACCAGACGAGGCAAGGTTTTGGGTGAGCCGCCAGCCAGCCTGATGACACCCTGCGGCTGCGCAAGGCTGTGAGAGGAGTTCCGACCAGAGCCTGCTTTACATAATTAGTTACCAGCTGAATTCTAAGTAGTCAATTCTACCCATTCATAGAACTGGTTCGCAACCGAGTATTGTTAGAGACAATGGTAATCTAGAGCTAAGCCTGTATGTACATGCGGACACGCAGGTTGTCATGTCCATTACGCAAAGACAAGTCAACGTTCTCGCAGCTCTATCCATCACGTATTGTTCGCTTTTCAAAGCAAAAGTGAAATAATTGACTACATCATTGAAAAATATTCGGTCATTTCGGCCTAGACAAATCACCCAACTCCGTCCATCGCCTTGGCACCCTCACTTACACCATACCATGCATAGATGGACAAGTCAAAAAAATTGTATATTTCTCCGACAGTCCGTTTTCCCGCTACCCATGTTCAACTCCTATCCCCTTTTCCTTTATTGGTAATTCTTTCATTTCTTTCTCTGCCTTTCGAATTAGTCTTGTACATGTTCTGTGGGTTCTCCGCACGGATCTCGCACCACACAGTATCTATGCACGACCATTTTCGTTTTCCGACATTTTCCTTTCGGCAAGTCCTCTTTGAAGAATACAGCCATAACGGGACAGCGATGTCCGCTAGGATGCTACGGGAAGCAAGTACTCTTCCTTGATGTGGCGTCTTTCCGTGTGCACCTCCATGTGCACGATACGATTCATGTCGGGCACTGACACGGGTGCTTGCTCACGTGTGATGATTCCTATTTCTTATTCTCGAATCATTTTACCTTTTTCATCTTTCAATTCTTGTAGCCTGGACCACGTCGCAGCCGATAATCGATTACGCATACCCCAAATCGACCGTGCGCTGTTTCCCCCCAACAAGTCCGATCGTCCCCTCCCTCCCACCTTTTTTCCCCAGGTTGGCCTTCTTTCCCTCCCCCGCGCAACGGGGTTTCACCACAGTGCGCATGACCTTTATGGTGACGTTTTGCCTAAATAATCCTTTCTAGGCCTCGGGCGCGTCGCAGCCGCCGAGCCAACGCAAAGACTGCATGTGCGTGCGACAAGACAGCACATCTGCGCCATAAAATCCATCCCAAGCTTGTTTTTATTCATTTTTTTTAATTCATTTGTTTTTTTTATGCCATGGTTTTGTCAAATTAAAAAGTTCCCGATTCTTGACACTGAGTTGCGCCCGTTGACGTGCAGATCTTTGCCCTGCCCACAAAGTCGTCCCTGGAATAGTGGCTTGGTGAGGCGGCACGCGGTTCTTGATTTAGAAGCCGGAATGAAGAAGGGGGGAGATCGTGATATTTAGTTAGGCAACAATTATCGAAGAAGTTGGCATCTTGCCATTCGTAGGAGAAAAAAAAGTTGCTTATTCTTTTTTGTTCTTTTTGCGATTATTCGTTCAACAACTCTAGCAACAAACATGCCTCGGTATCCCGCGACGGGTTCTTCGCACACTACATACATACGTTACGGCGTTTACCAGTAGTTACAATCAAGGCATGCACACCAACAAACGCTTCCCCGCCATTCATCACCAACAACAAGTCGGGGATTTTTTTCCCGCGGTACGTGCGAGTGCAGGGATCTTGTTTTTCACGCCGTCACACAGCAGACGAGTCCAGAGCCCATTTGAAGCCTCGGCGCTGGGCCCCAATTAAAAAAAGTCTATTACAACAGAAACAAGCCTTTTTGTGCTCGCTCCCTCGTAAACAACCCCGCAAAGCACGAGCCCACACCATCCATCAATCATCAACCATCAATCATCCATCACACTGCCGCACCTTCTCCCCTTCTGCTCATGCGGCCGCCACCAACAATGGAAAGCCACCTCCACCCATCCCGACGCCTCTTTCTCATCACACACACACACACGCACACACACACAAACACACTCTTCATCATGTCCTTCTTCACAATGCCTTAATTCACCGCAATGAAATCATATTGTAGTCATTTCAAGTTTTATTATGTTTTTTGTACGCTTGAGGCTGTCCTTCTCGGTCCCGGAATATGTGGAAGCTTTTTTTTTCCTTTTCAGCGCGATTCATCTTTTTTCATCGCTTTTTTGTTGCCCTCTTTTTCGGGCGTAAGCCACATCCTCCACCTTTCCGATTATTTTTCGCTGCTATTACCCAGCAACGCTTTTTCCATCTTCCTCCATTATGCTTCCTCCGAGGGCCGGCGTCTCAAGGTTGCCCTTGAATATACAGTAGTTCTTCATCTTGCTTTTTCCTCGCAAACCCCCAATCGCGCTAGAGTACAAATCCACCATGGGAACGTAAATGGCGGTTGAAAAGACAGGCCGAACATAAATGCCCAAAGCCTCCGTAAAGGCTCAAGAAAACAAGAATCCTAGGTATCTTGAAAAAAAAAAAAGCAACGCCACGCAAAGTGCCAAAAATGTGTGATAAGAAATAGGTCATGTCCAGAGCCATGCCAGATGTGTGATCAAGTCACACTGTGATGCTCGCTCCATTCAAGTAACCGCTTGGTGCTGTTACAGTCGTAATAAGATATGTGTCCAGGTCGCATACCAAAGCGCTCTTGTCGAATTAGATCGACAGATTGTCCAGTTACCAGCCCTTGGAGTGGTAGCCGTCAAAAGTATCCTTGTTGAAATATTGGTTCCAGCTGCTGGCGTTCGCGTCTTCGCTCTTCTTCATGCAGGGCTTCTCTGGGAACTGCTTTAAATTGGCGACGTCATGGGAGGTGTGGCGGCGCTTGAGCACAGCGTTGGCAGTCGAAGTCTTCTGCTGGCGCTCCCAGAGAAGGTGACGGCGAAGTGACTCGGTCAGCTCCGTGGCAAGCATGTTGCGACGAGTGGTTCGCGGAGACAGGGCAGCTTGGGCGTGCACATGGTTGGTAGGGGCGACAATGGGCTGGGCGCTGGAGCGAGGCGCCTCGATAATGGGCCTTAGGTTGGAAGGTCGCATACCCTTCATCATCAGCGGGCCCTCGTCGGAATCGTTGGGAGAGACACCCAGGGTCGAGCTGCTAGGTCCGGCGCGCGATCGGATAATGGCAGAGGCAGAGTGAGATGCCTGGTTGCTGAGGTTCTTCTGGCGCTCACTCTGTGCAAGCATAAGAGTGATGAGCGAAGGGCGAGAGACTAGGTTAGCCTTGGACTCGACACGCTGAAAGAATTTCTCGTCGACGCTCGATTTGCCGCTATCCTCCATGGAGTCTTCCCAATCAGAGCCGTCATCATCGTCGTCAATGGCACTTTCGTCAACGTAGTCGTCGTCGGTATCCGAGTCAATAGCGCTCTCGGCTTCGAGCTGAGCGTTGCGGGTGGTGGGCAGGACAACCTGCTTCTTCTGTGGGACAACGGCCTTGACGGGTTGAACATCGCTCTTGGCAGAAGAGCTCTTGGTAGAAGTAGACTCGGAGGAGCCACCAATCTGAAACATGGCCTTGGGAGGCATCAGGCTGCTCTTGGTCATCTCGACGCTCATGCCCTGTTCGCTAGAAGAGCAAGAGCCGCCGAGGGCAAACTTAGCTGGTGCCTTCTTTTGAGCGACGGGCTGGTGAGCGGGAGCAGCCTCGGGCTCTGGGATGGCGGCCTCGATGTGCGAGGGTTGGGGGAACGATTCGCAGACGGGAACTTCGGGGGCCACAATAACGTGGCGTTCAGCGGTAGGCTCGGGTTCGGTAGCCATCTCGGCAACGGTGGTGAGCTCGGCGGGGGCCAGAGCAGGTGCGATGGGAGCAGTCTCCTTCTTGGGAGCGGTAAGAGGGGATGCAGCGGTTGGTGCGGAGAGAGGGGCCGTGTCGTTGACAATAGAGACGACCATCTGTTTAAAGTCGTCGGAGCTGATGTGGCGGTCGCGTCTGCCACGGCTGCTGGTCGAGTCCAGGCGGCGTATCCTGGGACGGATCTCAAGAGGGGTGGACTCGGAAGCGAACTCTGTAGCGTCCTCGTCGACGAGTGAATCGACGCTACCAGAGAGCTGGGGAAGGTCTTGGGGGCGCCAGGTAGTGGCCAAAGGCGAGGTGTTTGTGTTTGTGTTTGCGGCGGAGGCGTCAAGTCGCTCCTCGTTGTCGACGAGTTGCTCTCTCTGCCAGAGTCTCCAGCTAAGGTTCTCTAATCTACGGCCCTGCTCAAGTGAATCGGCGCAGCGGGAAAAGACTGTCGGCATTGGTTAGCCCATCGTGTCGCGCGTGGAAAAAAGACGCTTCGAGCTCAGAACAGGGTAATAGATGCTTACCAGTCCACATGCTATACAGATTGGCAGGGTTGGCTGTGTCGACCTTGTGGATGACGTTGGCATCCACTGTCAATACATGCGTGTCTAATCTGTTAGGCATTGCTGCAAGATGTTGTGATGGCTCAAGGCGTTTGAGCAAGGTGGTGAATAAGGCGGGTTTGGCGGGGGAGAGGCCGAGCGGGAAGTCGCTGGCTGGATGAATCAAAGTGTGCTGTTCAGGTTGGCAGCAGAAGTGATGAACATTTGAATCCTTGGTACGATAATGTCGAGTCGATGAGGGGGTTTGCTAAAGCACGGCGGTGTGGCAATGTTGACGACCCGAGTGTGCCGGATACTGGGGATGCAGACTGGGCAGAGTGTGTTGGGTGTGGAAGGCGTCAAGTGTGAACGAGACCGAGAGGGCAATGAAGCTGGTGTTGAAAGTCGTGGGGTCAATGCGTGGAGTGTCGTGGAGGAGGAAAGGAAGGCAGGTTCCTGGTCTGGGGAAGCGATGCGTAGTTATGAAGTTTGCATTGTCGTGAGTAGTAAGTAGGATAACCGGTGAGCACTGGGGTGATGCGTCCCTCTTATTCAGAGGCCCGCGGACGGGCACCCAGCAGCACGGGCAGGAACCGGGGGTATGCCAGTACCCAAGACCCCCCCCAGTACGGGACCGCCGCCAGTGGGTGTGGCCAGGCCTCAGGTGTGGGGGGGTATGCCCAAAGCCCCCCGTAACACTGCCCTAATTGTCCCCCCTGCGAGCACCCTCCAGCGGTACTTTTGGGCATTTCTGGAGGGGTACTGGGGTGCTGGAGAAGGGGGGGGCACAAGGGAGGGAGTATTGAGGTGGTCCGGGGAGCAGCCCGGCGAGGTCATGAAGCTCTTGGGAGATGCCGCTAGGCGATCTTGGGTAGTACTGCTGCTTTGGGCGCCGATATGCTACCTATTATAGGCTAGCTTTCAAAAAGCAAGCTAAGCTACTTTGAGGCCTCACCAAATTCAGGCACTTTGTCGTCCCAGCAGTCGGGAACCAGCCCACCCAAGCCTCTCGCTCTCACTCCCTCCCTCACTTTCTCTCTCTCATTCGGCTCCCAGCCCTGCGTGGCATTGTTACCGTCGCCATCACATGGGCGTTCCAAACGATCTGAGCTGGCGGTGGACAGGTGAACATTCCGTTTTCCCACCTGGTCGGGCTCTCGTGGCCGAGGCCTCCCTCGCCCGCAAAACGGACGCTGCCACGCCCGCAACAAGGGCCCCCCCTTCCCCATGTTATTTTTTTTTTCGCAGTCACGCGGTTGCCAGCACCTCCAAATAAACGGTCGCCCGCCTATTTACCGTTTTCTCTTCAAGTGTCTCTGGGTGTCTCGCAATACGGTGCCGGCACTTTATGCAACCGGCAAAGACCCAGACGCGCGCGGCGACATGACAACATGCACACACAAAATACTTTATTACACACATTCTTACTGCTTACCTGCATTGTTCAGCCTAGTCATGCCTCGACTATAGGACAAAGCAACTCATTCTTCCTTGTAGTCTCTCGCAAGTATTACCAGACAATCGACACCCGTGTACGGATTATTAGGGCCGAGTTGCCCAGGCACTCGACAACATTCTAGAATGAACCCCAATTTTCTTTCAATGGCAGACGAGGAGGCCTGGTCCGTTTAGGCCACATGCCGCTGCTGCTTCTGGCAGGGTCCCAATTCGGGAGGCGCCAATTCGCGAGCGGAGTCGTAAAAAAACGAATTCGATGCATGCTACGTACCGTTGCGGCCTTGCGAGTTTGGGGGTGATCAAGGAACGAGGCTCTACATCGGCCCCCAGCTGACCTCTTTTTGTTCTGGGGAAATCCTGCGCCAGCATTGCATTGCGTTGTCAATTGAATTCCTGTTTGACAAGGATTCTTCCCTTTATGGCATCTATCATCATTTGTGCAAGACGGCAGAACAAAGGAAAACAAGAAAAAGGACCGCGCAGGTGTCAGTCAGTCACAGGTTGTTATTGTTGTTGTTCTTGTCGGCCCTGCAGATTGGCTCAGCTGGGACTGCGCCTGACCCCCAGCCCTCGCTGGCCAACCCCTCCGTGCTTCACGCATCATGTTTCCTTGGTAAAGCTTTCAGACACTTTGTTTGACTGTGAATTCGTTTGTGCGTGGTGTGCGTGCGTGCGCCGTATGTGCGTGCGTGTGTGTGTGTGTGTGTGTGGCAATGTGTGTTGTGTGTTGTTGTTGTGTGAGTTGTGTGAGTTGTGTGTGCTACTAACATGCGTGCCACGCCAGCAATATGGGCATGTTGCGACGCCGCCGCCCGGCGGTAAAACTTGGGGATCATGGGGTCAGCGCTTCGGCCATGGGGGTTTGGAACGTTTGGGGAGGGGTAGCCTCGAGAAGAATATGCAGCGAACCGCACTCCATTCCCAAAAAAAAGATTCGGGGGCCAATTTCTTTTTTGTCTCTGTAAGCAAGGCGGTAAATCAAGGGGAGGGGGCAGAAGGGGGGCAACACTGTCGTGACTTGATAGAGTAAAAAGAAGTCATGAGCTTACAACATCATTGGGTTCAAGCTGGCCAGCAAACTTGCGCCTGGCCAGGGTCCCCAAAAAGTCACCTGTCTGCTCCTCCTGCAAGCCAGCAAAGCGCTCTGTGGTTGCTAGCTGCTCACGCAGTGGCAAGAAAGTACAGTTACAGCGGGATGGGGACGAGCATTGCCCAGAAACAGGGGACCGGACCCTGCAGCAAGGACCACTTGTTGCATTCGATGATGATGGTACTCTGGTCTGGGGCAAGCGTCAGTTTCTGTCTGCCCAAGTGTTGCCCATCAGTTCAAACGCGGCAGTGCTTTGTCGCAGAGGGCTTCCACCCCCTCCCCCCTCCCCTTCTAGTCAGCAGGTCATCAGGCCAAACACGGCCAGCGCGTGTGTCAGAGCCTGAGAATGCCAACTCATCAACCGCCCGTCTCCCGCACACATGACTGCTGCATTGGCCCAACCACGTTTTGGCGAAACCTGGGGACACCTGGGGGGCAAAGGACACCTGGAAGGGACACCTGGGAGTTGGATGCGCACTGTCCAACCATAATCGTTCGTCGCTGACTGCTTTGGAACAAAACCGATGGCAAGCACGCAAGGTCATTTGTCAAAATCATACGGGGTTTGCCCTGGCCTAGAATCTAAAAGAAAAAAAAGGGTCCAACGTCTGCCCGCCCCTCGCCCTCCTCTCTCTCTCTCTCTATCCATCGACTTGACCCTGTTTGCCTCTCTGTTCTCTCGCCTTGT